ATTTTATCCTGAAAGCAAGATCATTTATCAAGCCTACACATACAAATGCTCCAAATAGGCACAAAGTCCAACTAGGCAAGCCGAGGTGTGCTGCTTCATTAATGTACTCTCAGGTGTAGCATCACCAAGTTTTCATCTTGTTGAACCAAGTATATAATCCATTCCCCAGACAAAATGGAACAATTGGCCCAGGCCGTTAGATAGGCCTGAGCTCTGGACCAAATGGGCTTACCTTATATGTATCCTCACCCTAAAAATGATCCTTTGATGGACATAAGAGACTATGTCCTTTGTCTTCCTATTTAAGATTCGAATCTCATATGGAAGACAATACTCTGGAAAGAGACCTCTGTGTTCTATAATTACCTGATCATCAATCCCCTGGGGCACCTATTAAAAAAGCACAGTCCCAGGCCACACCGAAGACCTGCTGAATCAGAGCCTCCAAGGGAGGATTTGGAAGTCTGAATTTTTAACAAATGTCCAAAATAATCTTTACGATTAGGCAAAATTAGGCTTCTCAAATCAAAGACTTTGAAAGAGGGCCAGAGTGAAGGTATGTTAGTCTGCTCAAACTGCCATAACAAAATACCATAGACTGCGTGACTTAAACAACAGAAACTTACTTCCCATGGTCTAGAGGCTGGAAGTTTGAGATCACGGTCCAGCACGGTTGGGTTTTGGTGAGAGCTCCCTTAAGCTTGCAGATGGCTACCACCTCATTGTGTGCTCACACAACCTCTGCTTGATGGACATGCAGAAGGAGAGTAAGCAAACCTCTGAGGTTTCATCTTAGAAGGGCACTAATCCCGTCATCAGGCCCCACCCTCATGGCCCTAATTACCTTCCAAAGGCCCCATTTCCAAATACCATCTAGTGGGAATTAGGGCTTCATAGGATGAATTTTGAGAGACTGCAAATATTCAATCAATAAGGACAATGAACTTTAGTCCCCTCAGAAAAAAACAGATGTTCATTTGTGGAGCTGACCTTTGCTCGGGGTTTTTACTTCTCACCAATATATGTAGGACTTTAGGCATTGGCTTGAGCAACTTACGATGGACAAAACATGAGGATTTAAAATAATCAAAACAAAAACTAACAAACAAAAGAGATAGAGAGAAATCAGTGTTACCAGGTAGTTTGAATGTTAGTTCAAGTTAAGCACTAAATTTAGCTCTGGGCCTGCTAATAGCTCCTGCCAGAGGAGGAAATGTATCTGGGATTGTCTTTCCTATTCTGTGCATGTTAAACTCTGGGTAGAGTTCCAGATTTTACTTACATCTACTGAACTACAGTGCTATTTCCAAACTTCAGCCCTCTAAGATGAGAAAAGTCATTGTTTCTTCCCCCGGAGCTTAATATCACATCTTGATGAGTTCCTACCTTATCAGAGAAGTAAAACTAGCCATACCAAAAATACCCAATGGGGAATCTGTCTCCCAAACATATATGTACTAGAACCTCGTAAAAAAAAGTAATGCATTTTGCAAAATCCGTGGTTAGGGTTTTTTTCATAGGTCAAAAGTTTTCTTACTTTTTAATAATTTAGGCAACCCTGGAAATCAACTGCTTCTAGACATTGCTGAGCAATCAAGAGCTCAGAAAGTCACTGATTACTGGACCCCCAAGTCAGTTATCCAGTCAGACAAATCCTGTCACCCAGTGTCTGTAACAGAAAGGAGACATCCCAGTGTGGGGAAATGTTTCTGGTCTCAGGCCCAGCTTTGTCACTGGCTGGGTTCCACCAAGCAATTAATTCTTTAACTCCCTCTGAGCCTGCTGTCTTTATTAATTTAACAACTATTCATTGAACATCTAAAATGTGCCAAGCACTGAACCCAGGTGCAGAGGACAGCCCCGCCCTCAAGGAGACCACAGTCTGGAGACCAGGGAGTTTCCACTCGGTAAGGTGATTGTTCATTTCCTTCCATGGGTACCTCAGTAGCTTAGCTCATAAAACAAAAATAAAAACAAGTGAGTGTATGAAAGAACAAATAGATGAATGAGTGAAACACGAAAGTTATTTTTTAGCCACTTTATTTACGCCACTACCACTCTTTTCCTGGCTCCCTTTGTCTAATCCCTGAGACCCAAGAGGTCCATCTTCAGCTTGGTCTTTCTTAGGCTTTGCCCTCAGGCAGACCTCACTCCTTGGCTGCAATCCTTCCCCTTCATTCGTCTGCATTATTGCTCAGCCCACTTTCATCACTCATACCACCCTGAATGTCATCCTATATCATAATTCAACAAACATCCACTGAGCACGTAATACATGGCCAGCACTGGGCAGACCCAGACCCTGCTCCACGCCTGCCGTGGCCGTGGATGGTACTTTGCACGTCCCATTCCATTCACTGCCACGCAGTGTGTGCCCACTCCGCCCACGCACAGCTGAGCCACAGGCACAGCACAGCAGCCACAGTGGCCTCGGGAGTTTCCTGGAAGAGTCCTACACCAAAAAATTCTCCCCACCTCTCTCTCACCTACGGCCTCTCACTAGCTCCCCTTACAACTTTTAACCCAAATAACCACTTTTTGTGTAGCGGCAGCCTGAATTTTCCGTCTGCTAACTAGCCCGTGAACCCCAGTTACACACCAAATGCCTGCAGAGCAGTCCTCTCATCTCTACCCTTGGTATCACCTTGGTATCATTTCCCACCATTCTCAACAACGGTTGAGACTCCAGTTTGTCCTGAAAGTATTGTTTAGAAAATGAATTTTTTTAATGAAATAAATATCATTTAAGTAGCATGAAAGTTTAAAACCACTCCTACATGTTGCTTCAGTTGATGTTCAGAATACCGGAGGCTCTGGGGGGTAAACAGCCAGGCCACAGGCGCCGTGGGCAGCGAAGTGCAGAGCTGGCAGTGGCCCGGGTCGCCGAGCCGCACGTCTGGCCCGTCCACGAGGCACAGACAGTCTTCAGTCTGGCCCAGCCTCACATTCACAGGAAGCTACAAATGTCACCCTCATGTGTTCGCTGCAGTGACGGTTGCACAGAATTAGAGGTGCGGTCGGCTGGCGGGGTGCGGGCCTGCGTCGAGCATCGTCCCGCACGCCGTCTGTGGGCTCAGTCCCGTCAGGGCTCTGCCTAGGTGCAGGCCTGACCCCCAGTCGGGGTGCAGACGGGGTGTCTCTCTCCCTGTCCCCCTTCCTCTCTCTGAAATCAGTGAAACCATATCCTTGGGCAAGGATTAAAGAGCAAGAGAGACCCCGTCAGGGTTCTGGGAAGGAAATGTCCGTGACACAGCCCGCGGTCTCTCTTGCTCCCGCAGCATCCTTTCGGCGTCTGCAGCGTCAGTGCCAGGCCTTCACAGCGAGTTGTGTCCTCGCTGGAGTCCGGACAAGCCTCTCCGTCTTGTTTCTGCTTCACTTTACTCCTCTCTGGAAGCGCTGCTTGCCTGCTGTCAGTGTTCCATCTGGAAACACCCTGGCTGGATTTTCCTTGGTTTGCACTCAGGTTGTGCCTGTGTCTTGTCCTCTCCTCCCCAGAAGAGGACCTTTCACTGACCTTTGAACACCACAGCCCTAGACCAGGCTCCTCACACACGCCTGCTGAGGGCAGGGCGTCTGAAGTCGCCCCAGGGACCAGGGCTGTGAGCTCTTCTCTCCAGCGCACAGCTGGGCACGTGGACAATCCTGCCCTGAAAACTTAGCTTCTACCAGGGATGATGCCAGTGATCTCAGTAGCAAAGGGAACCTTTAGATTATTTTAAATCATTGTATCCATAAAAGGGAAGAAATAACACTCTAATAAAAATTAATGGAAGACCACCCAGGGCTTTCCCGCGTTACTTCCAAGATGTTACAGGGAATGCCAGGTTCTGCACTTCTGCGCCTTGCCCGTCTGACAGGAGTCCTCGGGTTGTCGTCTGCAGTTGGAGCTGCAGACCCTCTGGTGACTTGCAGCCCCCTCCTTGCATCATAACCAGGCTGTGTTCACGGGCGTCCGTGCTTCTCGCCACGCTGCCGGCAAATGATCTGAAGCCGGAGGCAGCCAGACTCCTGCCCCCGGGGGCGGCGTGTCCCATCGTCCGGCGCACTCGGGTGTCCGGATGGCTCAGCGCGCGTCCAGCGAGGGATGGGCGCCAGCAGAGGCGCCTCCGGGCTCTGCTGTGTCCGAGGGCCGGGGGACTGCGGCCTTCTCCAGCCGGCCAGCGAGACCTGCTGTCTGTGGCTCCCCTCTCCCTCCTTATTGAAGCTTTTCAGGACGTTGACGAGGTGAAATATTTTCCAGAAGAGGAAATAATATAAAGCTTAAAACTTGTTTCTGATGGAATGGCAAAATGGCTTGGCTACTTTTCTTTGAGAAAAAATAATAATAAGGTAACCTGAGGCGGCCCCTGGGCTCATTACTGCTGGGTTGGAGGGAAGATAGTGGCTTTAGACAAACAGGCTTTTCTTTTAACTTTATAGAGTACGTTGGAGTGAAGAGACAAGGACGAATGCTAGGCAATAAAATAAACCTGTTACCTGCTTTTAAACATAATTTTGTATACAGAGGAACTGATGTGTGAAGTATGAAGTGACTGTGGAATATTAAAAATGAAGCATTTTGGAAAACAATCTGTTCACTGCCCGGCTCTAAAAGGACTGAACGTTCCATGAAATACCTCTTGCTTCTTTGTGAAAATTACTGGTGGTTTAAGCTCTGTGTGCAGTTTTAAGAAAACACAATCTTTAATGCTGTTGTTTATTAAGAACGCATTCTCTAAGCAGCTGAGACGCTGAGTGGGAGGTGGGAGGGAGGCACATTCCACAGCCCTCCCGTGCTGGCTGCCCCAGGCGCCATTCCTTCCCGACTAATGGCTCCTGGAAAAGTGTGTGGAGCAAAGGTTAGAAACACCCGTTTCTGCAGGCCAAGCTGTCTCCCCAGCGAGGGAGTAGAGGATTTAAAGGTGAACATAACCATCTCCTTGGCTGCATGCAGAGGTCATGCTGCCTGAGAAACTAAACCCTAACCCCCTTTTGGCAAGTATTCCTTAACAGGCCTCCAGATATCTGAAACCAATCTTAACCCACGCTGGTCCTCCGCTGACCACAACGCTGCCCGAGTGGTGTGGTCCAATCTCCAGGCTGCTCACCAGTCCTCGGGCCTATGGGGTGAGTAAATGTCCGGAGTGGGTCAGGCGTGGGGAAGGTGGGTGAGCCCAGCAACCTCGGGGACACTCCTTCCGGCCTGAGGAGGAAGCATTTTAAAATTCACTGCGCTGAGAAGCTGCTTCTGTTGCTGATGCAGGCTCATTCTTCTTACCAGTATTTTTAACCATAGGATGAATTTAGAAACATAAGAAATTAACGTGTGCTCACAAACTGCCGTGTTCTGAGGTTTTGAACATACACAGCCTGTGCTCTGTGGCTCAAGGGAGTGGCATAAAAACGCTGAGAAACAACCAAACCATTAGCAGCAGGTCAGAGCCAGGGATTGCAGAAGAGAGCAGCGTGGGGCTGAGGCACCCTCCCAGGCTGCCCCGCTGGCCCCTGCACGAACACGCTCAGGCGGGCGGCCCCAGGCAGCTGTTCTCCCCAGACCGGCAGCCTCAGCCCCGCTCCAGAACTCCTGAGAAGTGTGGTGTCGGGTCCCGGCTCCCACGCTAAGTTTGGGGGCCAGCGTCTGTGTTCTAAGAAGCCCTCCAAGTGGTTCCTGCACAGGCTGATGCAGGAAACCAGTGGCCGGCGGTCACCGAGCCAGGGCTCATTCTACAAGCGACTCTGCACGGCCTTCCCAAAGCCAGTGGAATAACGCTTGAGACGTCCATTCCTCCTGCAAGGGGACCTCTGTCTGACAACGACTGTATTGGCCAGAACTACTTAGTTTATGCCTTTGGCCACTACGGTGACTTCCAACCATTTTAGCCTGTGACACTCATCCAAGAAACGTGCTGCGTGGATGCACTTTTAAAATATAACAGAAACTGTTTTGAGAATTTTGTGATAGGGTCAAGCCAGCATCACGTTGTTACAGAACCAGCACTGAGGATCATTCCGTTCTCTAAGGTCACAGGATTCCACCTCCCAGTCCTCTCATAACCCTTAGATATCAACCCAGGAAACCCCCCGGAGTTTCATATTAACTCCTTAAACCAAGGAGGTCGCATTAGGTGCCATCTTCAGTGCCAATCAGGGAAACGCTTCACCACACCCGTGGAGGTGGGAAAGGTGGCTCGGCTGCAGCAGGGACCTCAGCCAGGCGGGACAGGGCACTTGGAAGAAGGAACCGAAGCAGCTCTTTTCTTACACAGTAGGACTGCTGCTGTGCTCTGCTTTCTGCATGAAGTGACCCCCTCTCTCTCTCCTTCCCCCCCAAAAACCTGCAGGAAGGGCTGAAGGCGGAGGATGCGGAGTGCATTGTGGGCCAGGACGAGCTGGCCATGAGCCACCAGGAGCAGAGCTCCCCCGACAGGCCGGCCAGGCTGGGTCTGGGCAAGGAGGCGTCTCCCCAGACCCCCAGCACGGAAAACATTTACGAGGGGGACCTGGGCCTGGGGGGCTATGAGCTCAAGCAGGAGCAGACCCCAGGTCCACCCCAGCTGAACTGATGGGCGGCTGCGATCGCAGGTCGTGCGGGGCTCACGGAGGCGCCCAGGCCAAGCCGGCGAGGCAGCTGGGAGGACAGGCTGGAGAACGCGAGAACCAAGCCCTCGTCCTGTGCACCCTCTGGTGCCTGAAGAAGTGAGAATTTATCGCTGTTTCTCTATATTATACAACCGAATTTACCCTGTGGCAGCAGCCATTTTTATTAAGGAACCGGGCGTGGCGAGGAAGGTGGAGGGGCGAGTGCAGCGCTCCTGCCGTCTGCGGGCGTTTCTGCTCCGCGCGCCACCGGGCCCCTCACGTAGGGTCTGGATTTTACTCCCTTCATTAGGGAGAGTGTAGAAATAAGAAAAAGAATTTTAAGCATAAACACATTGCTCCTGAACTGAAGGGAATGCCCGGTTACTTAGTAATGATAAGTTTCCAGTTTTTAGGGCCTAGACTCCCACCTGCTCTTAGTGATCCCAAGGCTATCTGCAGAGCCCAGAGAAGCCCTCAGGGCCACTGTTGGCAGCCTCACAGAGCCCACGGAACCCACGCCACCAGCCTCCTCGCAGAGCCCACAGAACCCACGCCACTGTTCTCACAGAGCCCACAGAACCCATGCCACTGTTCTCACGGGGCCCACAGAATCCATGCCACGGTTCTCACAGAGCCCACAGAACCCACGCCACTGTTCTCACAGAGCCCATGGAACCCATGCCACCAACCTCCTCACAGAGCCCATGGAACCCATGCCACCAACCTCCTCACAGAGCCCACAGAACCCATGCCACGGTTCTCACAGAGCCCACAGAACCCACGCCACCAACCTCCTCACAGAGCCCACAGAACCCACCCCACGGTTCTCACAGAGCCCACGCCCTGTCCATGGTGTCCTTCCAGCCGCCCCTCCTGTTGAAGGGTGGTGATGAGGGAATGCCCTGCACTGATGCAGTTCCTCTCTCCACCCGGGCGGGAGTCACGGGGAAAGCTGGTTCCCCCCCCCCCC